ACTTACTTACTTACTTACTTACTTACTTACTTACTTACTTACTTACTTACTTACTGAACTATAAACATCCCCCCCCCCACACACACATACACACAAACACCCGCACACACATACGCACATACACACGCAGAGACACACAGAGATACACACAGAGACACACACACACACACACACACAAACACATACCATGTACATACATTTTAGGGCTTTATTTACTTCCTTTCTTTACTAGTTTGATGAACAACAGCTTTAAGGTAAACTGCTGCATTACTTTTTTGCTGCTTGAGCGATCGTGTTTCTCTTTGTTCCTGTTTCTTTCTCTATAGGCTACGCACTATGTTTTCGCCCTGTGCCCCAAAGACCCCTGTTCCTATCATGTTCAGCTGGTACACGTACGGAGCTTATATAAACTTAAAGCCAGCTGCTGTTCTTCGGTTCTCAGTTCAGTTGGTATCATTCTGGACTACGGAGCAGATGGTCCTGGTTCGAATCCCTGACCGGACGCTTTTTGGACTCGGGTCGTATTGTGGCTTTCAAGGCTCTCAACTCTCATCCCATTTGCCTTGATCCCTTTAGCGATGAAAGTTGAAATCGGAGGTCCCGCCTCTTAAATAACCCAATAGTATTGGAAGGGCCATTAAACCCATACCCTTACTTAGTTTTCTCTCTGCTTGGAACAATGCTACATAATTTTGTTTGGAACTCGAGAGCGACTTCGGTGTGGGGAGGCCTAGAGGTGGATAGGATGCGCGGAACGCAAGCAAGGCTAACAGATAGGCATTTTAAGCTTGCTATGTTTTGACAACGATAGTGATTGTTTTGTCGAGCTATGGGAAAACAATCCCTGTCTCAACGAATCGGATGTGAGGACGCAGGTGCGGTGGAGGACCGAGTGCTGGGTGCAGTGCATTGACACCACTGACTGTGTGCAGGATTAGGTTAGAATCGGCTTACAACAGGCGAGGAACTAACTTGTTCTATTTTCAGCTCTGATAATATTCCATAATTCCAACGGTTTTCGAATTTTCCAAATGTGTACAGTCTATTTCTCTCCTCCCGTTTCTGCTAATAATTCTCGCTATGACACAGTGTACAGTTGGTGAACGTGATTGAATTGTTCAAAGTATATTTTTAGGTCCCTAGAGAGAAACATGGGAAAAGTACGAGCCAGCATGCTCTAAGGAAAGCTTATGTTGCAGTGCAGTTCTGCTGTAACTGTTAGACTTATAAAAATCCTATTTGACATTTTGCTCATGCGTTAGAATACGTTATTTATGCTATAACGGCGTCCAGCGGTTGGTGGGAGCAGCAACTTTAGTATCTATCTATCTATCTATCTATCTATCTATCTATCTATCTATCTATCTATCTATCTATCTATCTATCTATCTATCTATCTATCTATCTATCTATCTAT